GTATGTATTTATTCGAAAGCTATACATGTACTTGACAAGTACATTACAATATATCTTAAATTGAACCATACAGTTTAATTGAATTGTTTTAGAGTAATAGCCCCTAATCTAGTGGTGATTCCTCGTGTCTGGCCATGTGGAAAAAGTCACATTCAGTTTAATCTGTGTGGCTCCCTCTTGTGTTCATTTGAAATATAACCCTTTACACCCCAGTGAAGTCACTTCCCCCACTTTTTATTTGTAATGCTAATGACTGATATCCTTTTTGTAAATTTTGTCTTTAGGCTGTGTGCTGGAAGCAGGAAAGGATATGGTGTTCAACCCGGAGGAAGATGAATTTGAGCATCAGCTTGATTTAAGAATGGTGAGTACACTGAGATAGATATATATATATATATATATATTAGGGCCGGGACGCGATTAAAAAAATTAATCTAATTAATTACAGGCTTTGTAATTAATTAATCGCAATTAATCGCATTTTTAATCNGACAGGAAGTTGTTGTTGCTATGGAAACAAGTGACGGTGAAAAGGAGCGGAGATTAAACTACATATAAACACGGAGAAAGTAAAGGATAAAGTTTATGTTTAAGTTTAGAACCCCCCGAAGAGGCACAAGGTTGGTATTAACTGTAATATAAAAATGTAGGTTGTGTGCTAATTCGTTTATATACTGTTTTGTAGCTTTACTGTCTGTTTACAGTTAACTTTTTGTAGTATGCTAAAGTGATTCTAATACGGATGGAGCCTAAATGTATTTGTTATTTTTTTGTCTTTATAGCTCTTACGTTGATATTGGAGATTTCAATAAATTCATATCATCAGTCAAGTCTTCGACCATTATTCGCAGGGAATGCCACAACGATGCTTGGCAATGGGCATTATTATATATTATTATAGGCCAGGCCTACCTTTTTAAAGTCATTTTTCCCCCTGGTAAAAGCTGGCCCACCCTATTTTATACAGGCCTGCCCTAAAGTAAATGTCTGCCTACGCTACTGAGCTGTGCTATAACACTGTCCTGTCTCTCCCCTGCATAGGTATGATGACTATCAGGATGAAGACTACAAGCCTCGCTGGAGGTCCATCAGAGTCATGTACTTCACCATGTTCCTCAGCAGTGTGGGTGAGGAACCACCGAACCAGCTACACATAATTAAAAAATAATAATATTAAAACTATCCTGTCACTGTGAATATAAAAACATTTATCCTGTGCTTAGTGTAAAATTATGAGGATGTGTGTCTCGAAATGCTTTCAGGTTTCACCATCGTCATCACATCTCTGTGGCCTTATCTTCAGACGGTGAGAAGATATTTTCCTTTATTGTAAACAGGGAGTAAGAAAAGTTGCGCAGAGGACTTTAGATTTAGGATATATTTAATATTTAATGTTTAATATTTAAGGTGGATGGCAGTACCACTGCCAGCTTCCTGGGCTGGGTGGTGGCAGCCTACAGTCTGGGGCAGATGTTGGCCTCGCCTCTCTTCGGCCTCTGGTCCAATCACCGCCCCCGCAGGGAGCCGCTGGTCTGCTCCATCCTCATCAACCTGTTCGCCAACATCTACTATGCCTACGCCTACCTGCCCCCCTCCCACAACAAGCTGCACGTCTTGGTGTCCCGGGTGCTGGTGGGCTTCGGAGCAGGTGAGTGTTACTCCGTCCTGCAGTGAGTCTTCATATGCTGCAGTCATGTGACCTCTCTCTGTATCGTGGTGTAGGTAACGTGGCAGTGGCGAGGTCTTATGTGGCTGGAGCTACGTCCCTGAAGGAGCGCACCTCAGCCATGGCCAACATGAGCGCCTGCCAGGCCCTGGGATTCATCCTGGGACCAGGTACTCTTCATCACAGTCTTCAATTGATGTCAACCAAGCCAGTAGAGGAAGTATCTGAGCTCCTACATTAAACCATCTGTCTTTAAGGTTTAACACTCCTCAGCGGTGGCTAATAATGTTACTGCAGCCTCTCTATGTGACACACACACAGGCTTTAAACACAGATGTGTAAATGTCAGCGTTGGGAACAAAGCTGTACACTGTTGGTGCAGCCTACAAGTAATCAATGCATGTTGTTTAAAGGTCTCCTATCATACAAAATGCACTTTTCGATGTCTCTTATACATAAATGTGTCCCCGGTGTGTCAGGGAACTCACAAAGTGTCAGAAAACAAAACCCTCTCTCTTTTCCTCCGCACCCAAATCTAAAAAACGGGGCTACAACGGAGCTGGTCCATATTTGCTGACGTAATATCGGAAATGTGGGCTGGCTTTACACCCACGGCCCTATCAGAAACGTCGCCTTCAGAAACAATGCGCAACGTGTTTTGGAAGTAATATGGTCTTTGTTTACATTAGCAAGCACCGCTCAAACTCAGAGCTAACCTGTACTGGAGAGAGTTTGTGTAAAAAAGCAGGAAATAAAAAGGTACTCACCTTGTGGTAAACCCGCAAGAGAAAAGGCATTTGAGCTCCAAACTGTTTCAGAAATAATCCTTGATGTGGTTTTGAACATGATATGTCGGTTAATCACAGCAGGATTTAACTGAGTATCTGGGTAGAATTCTCCAGCATAAGCTCCCCCCCTCCAATTTTTTTTTTTAAAGCTACGGACCCAGAACCAGCACCTCTCTAACAGGGCTGAAATAGAGGGGTATGATGCATGGCTAGATGGGTGGTATTTTGAGCAAAACACTTCACAGACATGTTTTTTATATATTTTTATATATCCGAGACCGATATGCCTAAAAATAGTATAACAGGAGACCTTTAACTCCTGCATCGTGTGTGTGTGTGTGTTTGTTTGTCAGCCCTGCAGGCGGGTCTCTCCTTCCTGGGGGAGGGTGGGGTGACCGTGCAGATTCTCTCCCTGCAGATCAACATGTACACAGCCCCCGCTCTGCTGGCGGCTGCGTTCGGCCTCGTCAACGTGCTGCTGGTGCTGGTACTTCTCAGGTTTGTGTGTGTTCAGCTCCGTGTGTGTGTGTGTGTGTGTATGTTGGAGTCTTACTCTTTGTGTTTCTCGCTACACACAGAGAGCACCGTGTCGATGACCATGGAAGACAGATCCGAGCCATCAACTACACATCAGAAGGTTTGTATGCTCCTGTAAACAGAGTTTTATTTTGAAAGGACAGGAAACTCAAATATTGTTTTCCTTCCTGTAGACAGAGATGAGCTCAGTGAGGAAAGTGAGGAGAGCCTTGATCAGTTGGCCGTCGTGACCTCCAATGTCCTCTTCTTCATCGTCATGTTCATCTTCGCCGTGTTCGAGACGTAAGAAGGACATAAACCGAATATATTATCCTGTTCCTGTCAACCAGTATTTTAAACCTGAGAGTGTGTGTGTGTCCAGGATCGCCACCCCCCTCTCCATGGATATGTTCTCGTGGACCGGGAGAGAGGCCGTGCTGTACAACGGCATCATCATCTGCGGCATCGGCGTCGAGTCCATCCTGGTGTTTGTGGCGGTGAAAGCGGCCTCTCGGAGGTACGCCACCCCCCACCTGAGTGTCAGACAGAAATATACTGTATATATATTATATTTCAGAATTAATCCAGAGAGAGTTTTCTTCCTCAGGGTCGGAGATCGTCCCGTGCTGCTCGCTGGCCTGGCCGTTATCTTCTGTGGCTTCTTCATCCTGCTGCCATGGGGGAACCAGTACCCCCAGATCCAGTGGGCAGGTAAACATAAAAAGTGCTGATTCTGTGTCTGTTACTTTAGATGAAAATAGGGAGCCACTCCCCACGCCCCTCTGAGAGATATTTAGTTAAAAAGTGTTCTTTTTAACTAAATATCTCTCAGAGGGGCGTGGGGAGTGGCTCCCTATTTTCATCTAAAGTAACAGACACAGAATCAGCACTTTTTATGTTTACCTGCCCNCTCGACGACGTTGACCGAGTGCGAGTGATCGATTAACGGTCCGGGGGAACCTCCGGGCGACGTTTGGGTCTACAACGTCAACTCTAAAAGCGGAGGTGCTGTAGACGCTAAATACCGTAGTTAAACACCAATCATACAACAGCAACGATGAAATAGTGTAGCCAAGGCAGCAGAGCTCTGAATATAGTTTATCTCTCTCTATCTCTCGCTCTCTCTCTCTCTCTCTCTCTCTCTCTCTCTCTCACACACACACTAGGGCTGTTCGATTATGGCAATAATCACGATTATGTTGGTCAATAATTAATATCGTGATTATTAAATACGATTATTCATTGACTTTGAAAACATCCATTTATTGAACTTTAAAACAAATAATAATTTTAACAGTATCTTTTTAACTGTTGATTACCCTGTGAACGTATAATTAAACGGAAAAACCAATACAAAAATAAATGATACATTTAAATAAATAATATCAAAATAATAAATACCAATAAACAAGATCAACAAATATTTTGGAGCGCACTTCCACAAGCTACTAAAAATATATAAATATGATAAATAAATTAGACTAAAATTAATTAGATCAAATATGTTGTAGTGCACTGTCACAACCTCGCGAAGCAAAATAATCGTTTTTTTCGATGTTGTTTTCGTAATTGTGGCAGGCCAAAATCGTAATTGCGATTTAAAATACGATTAATTGCACAGCCCTAACACACACACATACTCTAGATGTGTGTGTGAGGACACAGTTTTGTGTACTGTTATGCTGTTATGTTCAGGCATTGTTTTTATGTTGAACATGAATACATTTACTTTGTAAGTAATTATGGGACGTATTTCTTCTTTCATAACAATTTTCCTTCATTGCCGTGAAATAGGTCTTAAATTCTATTCAAAGTGGTCTTAAAAAGTCTTAAATTTGAGTTGGCGAAACCTGCAGCAACCCTGAATAGAAAGGTGTGTACATTTCCAGTGTAGTAAACAATGCTGTATTGATTTGGGGTAGCTTTGGATACTTAAAAGTAATAAGCCATTTCTAAACATCACAATATGGTTGTGTTGAAACTTAAAAGACTAATGCATAATTCATTGCATATTCAAAGAAACACGAAAGTTGTTTTGCTTTAAATTTTATTAGGAAGAACATTGCCACAAAGAAAATCATAAACCTGTATTTATCTTCAAATAGGGATTCTGATGGCAGAGAATTGGAACAGTGGAAACACATTATTTTCAATCCATCAACACTCAGTCCAACTCACAGCATATTTTCATTCTAACAAACATACACTTGCTTCTTTAGAACATGGAATGACTCACTACGCTAACAGGCCTCATGCATCAACATTTATAATAATACTTTAACCGACCACATGAGTACGGAACTTCGGGGACTTTTTAAACTTGAATACAGGTGATTAAGTCTTAGAATATTTAGTAAAATCATCCTTGTTTGGAGGGTTTTAATCAACTTGATTTTAAAAGAAGAATCCAGTAAATTCCTTCACTTCAATTCAGTCACTCAGAGCGAGCTCTCAACCTAGCAGTCGCAGCAGCAAAGAACAGAAACACTCATCTCCACTAGCGATACATCTACGATGCTTCATTAGCGCGGGTTGCTGCTTAATAGCAATGTTTGATGTTATGGACGGTAAAACATTCATTAAAAACAACAACATTTGAATTCTGATAAAAGGTTAAGCTAACAGTTTGTTAAGGGATCTTGAGCGTTGTAATCTCACATTAGCATAACATTCAAAGCATTTCAAAAGGTGCTACTTTTACATGTTCATGTTGGGCTTTACTAGAAATATTAACAGCTTTAACAAATCTGACCAATGGTGGCCGACATCTACTGAAGTTTGATTGGCTTTTGAATAATAATTGTATTGAGCAGCTTGGTTGTTATTGGTATGCGGTTTATGATTGGATGCACGTTTGTATTTCCTGCATTAGACCAAATGACTCGACTGTAAATATAAAAAACCTAATGAAAGTATCCTCCATACTCAGGTGCCAACAACCTCGCGAGGATTTTATTTACACATTTACAAAGATGCAAATTTGTGTGTGATGTAAAGACAATGCACCATCATAATATACCGTCAGCATCCACATTACTCTACAGCTGGACCACATAGAGAAGTAACGACAAGTGTGAGGCACTGAGTTTGGTTTCAGAAGGTTTGAGGGGAGCGATGGGTATAAACATAAAAAGAGACGATAAAAATACTGAGACTTATTTAGTATCCTTCACCGTCTGCCTCCACTTCCACAGGTCGGAAATGATCTGAAGAAATACAAAGCTGAAGGTTAATACAGTGACCGGACGCAGACATTACAAATGTTTAGTTACAGAGAGAACCTTAGACCTTTTTTTATTGACTTCTATAAATTAACGAGTCATAAAGTTGACTTTAAGCTCCCCAGTGGGAGGTCTCAAATTGGTATTAAAGCAACAAAATTGGAGCATTTAAAAACCAGTACAATAATTTTTTTTAAAAAGCAATTTAAAAACGGGATGCAAAATGTTTTGTATTTTGAAAGATGCTCCTATGCTGAGAACTATCAAGTCACCACAAACATTTTGTATTAATGTCAAGTGATGCCCCAGTCAGGTTTGCTTGTTGGTAACAACAGCCTGGTTGTTGTTTTGCTTCAGCAGAGCAGTGTTACAGTATATAGGTCAGTTTGACTGCATTGTAGTGTACTGGATCTCCACCAGGTGGCAGCGGAAGCTATGCAAATAATACTGTACAACAATTCTATGAAGAAAATAAAAAGATAATCTTGTTGGCTTCTTGTTCTGTTATCAGGTGTTTTTTTTACATGGCGTGTAGACTACCTGATTGACCGCACGTTCAGAAGAACCACAACAAATGCACGCACACATGAGTATTTTGAAAAAGTTTAACTGTTTCAGTCTGACGTCAAGTAGGAATATTTTGGAATGAAAGCATTAGCACAACCAAAATGGTTTGCGTTAACAAGACTTTCGCAAATGTATCAACATCAGCAAGTCAACTCAAATTAAGAATGATACAAAAAAACTTCACTGATCAAAGATACTTTAGAACAAAAAAGGTAAACTTGTACTGTACCTTGGTGTCGGCGACATTAAGACCGTTCTTCACAAAATTCTCAAACTTGGCCTGGACATTGGGTAATTTGACTCCCTGTGGACCGGAAACAACAAATGAGCACATTTCAATATTGACACCATGTTTCTCCCAAGTTAAGAGGATAATGATAATTATAAAAGACCAGTTGAATTCAAAGCTTTTCCAAGGACACACACCTTCTTCACGGACTCCATCATCTTGCTCTTCAGCTCAGGGATGGTTGGGGTGGTTTTGGGAGTTGTTGGGGTTTTAGGCGTCCTCTCCCCTTTACCTTTGGGGGTCTTATCCTAAAAAGGAACAGCACATTTAGATATTAGGAATGATACAATCATTTGGAGAAATTACACTGGATATGGCAACTTCACCAAGTTTTAAATAATACAGTGACTACATCTCAAAACATTGAAACAGATATAAAGTCTGAAAAGGAGATAATTACCTGTTTTTTAGCAGGAGTGCTTGGCTTTGAGCTCTTGCCGTTCTGTTGTTTGGACGGTGTCACCTTGGCCTTAACAGGTGACTCTTCTTCCTCGCTCTCATCCTCATCATCCCTAAAAAATAAAACAGATCAATAAAAAGTCAGAGAAAATGAACCATCCAAATCTCAGAAAAATGTATTACTGTAACGTATGCATTTAGAATGAATACATCTTTAAATGCAATGTCAGCTGTTTGATCTTAAAATCACCATTACTATCTTTGATCAAATGCAAACATTTAAACTATTCTTATTTATTAATCAATCATTTCCTCCACTGTTGTTAATAAACCTCACAATTACTTTTATTAGAAAATATCAAGTCTAAATGTTGTGGGACTTGGTACTCACTCGTCATCCTCGTCTTCATCCTCCATCTCAATTTTCATTTTTTTCTGTGGAGGAGGTAAAGAGTTAGTCACTTGAAGGGAATTAAGAGATTACAAGATGAAAACAGTGACAGGTGCAAAAACAAACATGAGACTTGGCGGCAGGGGAGGAAGCGGGTCGCTTCTTTGACGCCGTGACAACTTCTTCTTCCTCCTCCTCTTCCTCCTCCTCATCGTCTTCATCAAACGACTGGTCGGCCTCCATCACTAAGAGGAATTTAGAAGTGTTAGAATGCACTACCAACACTGAGAAACGTGCTTACTCAGACTTTAACAACAAGTGAATTATTTAAAAGCCCTCCCACATTGACATCTAACAGTTAACACATCCTTATACTCTTGTAAGAAACACTCACTGACGAGGTGTTGTCCACTGATGTGGATTGGACCGGAACCTGCCTTCAGACGGAAAGTAGCCGGGGGGGTGATAGTGAAACCACCGAGACACACCTGCAACAAAAACGCTGTGTTAATTCTTTTCTGAGCGGGTGTTGGTAACGCAGCATTATCTAACCGGAGTAGGGCGTTTAAATGAGACAAAGAAGTGTGTTCATGTATCGGTTTGTGTTTACTTACACTTGGCAGGGTGGAGGGCCTCAGGGAGACCAGCACTGCCTTGATTTTCTGACCCTCCATGTCCTGTCCTTCCACCTCCACCATGTGCAGCTCGTCTGCGGTGCCGGGGTCCACACAGGCCTGAGAGGGGGGGGGGGCAGCAGAAGACTGTTAACCTCCAGGGTTTTAAGATTATTCAACAAAAATAATCTACATACATACTTAAGTTTAATTTGGATACTAACAAAGACAAAATGCAAACTGAAATGTTTGGACCCTTAAAAAAAAAAACTACGGTAAGGGAGAAAAGCTCATGCTTGACTTTGTTATAGGGGTATTTAGTTAAGACTCAAATTGCATTCATTAAGCTTGTGTGTAATTATTGTTGTGATTATTTCGAATATTTGACGAGTGACAGGAATGCAACTGAAAGGGGTTCAGTAAAAGACAGGATGATGATTGCCATTAGATTTGAACTTGAAATAAAAATGTGACCGATTTTATTCTATTGGTGTGATCCACATTCAGCTTCTCGGGACACATCGAGGCACAAGGGAATGTCGAGTAAACAACATTTTCTAACACCCTGTTCATTGAGCCAGCCATTTCTATTTTATATATTATATATATATATTTTATATATATTAATATATATATTATATTAGGGCCGGGACTTTAACGCGTTAATTAAGATTAATTAATTACACAAAAATTAACGCATTTTAATCGCACTTATTTTTGCCACCGACGGAACCGTTTCTCATGGGGATGAGGTTTCAGGGGTCCGTTATACTGGGAGCACCAACTAACGTTCATTACTTTACAGCAACTAACAAACCACCAGTGAACAATATGTCAAACGTGAACGAGAGCTGATGAGACCGCCTTTGGTTGGGCCCCGTGGATGGGACATTTTGGTTTTATAAAAAACGGACGGAGGGAAGAAGTCGATAAGAGCAACAGTTGTTTTGCAAATTATGCAAAAGGAATTCGCATATACCGCAGCACATCAAGCCTCAAGTATTCACTCAATGCAAACATATAGGCTAGCGTAGAAGCTTAGCGTGGACGTTAGCCCAACTCGGGAATTTCAGGACCCACACCCAATTTCGCGTTGATCAAACAGTGGCCTATGCAACAGGAGAGATTTTCTTTTCATCAGGATATTGAAAGAATATTATTTTATTTAATAAATGGTAACACTTTATTACTATTTATTACGGGTTGTTGGGTGCAACTGGCACTTTATGTTGAACTGTTTATTGTTTTAGCCAAGGTTATTGAAGAGAGTTGGACTGAAATTGATTAGTTTGTTAAATCAACTTGTTGGTAAATCAACAAAAAGTCTGTTATGGCCTCTGAAGC